GGAGCAGGAATGTATATTTGTGAATTTTACATACTACTACGTGTAGTGTAAATGTGTATATATGTATATTTCCTTCAGCTCCCTACACCATTTTTCTTTATTATATATACACTTTATATGTACATAAATACATAAAATTTTGCTGTTTCTTGTTTCAAATTCTATGTAGGTTGGCATATTTAAAATTCATCACTACATTATGTTATATAAAAGCAATAATTACTTTTATTTATAAATTCATATATAGCAAACAATATAATGTGTAATTATATATGCAAACACTTTATTATGTACATATAAAATATAGCTATGTGTATATTATTTTATTTTAAATTTTCAAATTATTATTATTTGTTTCTATATTATTATTTTCAAGATTTTGTTGCTGCAACAAATAAATTCTGTCAACACAACAAGAACATAGGTATTCAAGGAATTGGAATTATTTAATGTAATCTAACAGATTTTAATATTGTTATATCAAAATTTATAAAATTATTATAAAAATGTAAATGAAATTAGAATAAAATTAGAATAGTATAAAGTTTAAAAAATCTTTTTGGTTTAATTATATATACATTCATAATATACACATATGTTTTTATTTTATATTGAAAATATATTTTACAAATAAGAAGTCTAATATAATATTCCATGTGTAGTTGAGGGAATTAACGAAAGGGTGATGAGACATAGAGCGCGTCTGGAGCAATATGTCAAGGTAGAGAGCCCTCGGCTTCTTGTTATCAGGGCGCGTTGAATCTCTTTCAATCTATATTAAAGAAAATTTGATGGTTGGCCTGAGGGAATTAGTATCAGAATACAAGGGGGAGGTTTTTGTGGTAAAACACATCGCTAACTATGGGTTGCCAGGGAATGGCATGTTAGTAGCATTCATGCTTTCCTCCTTCCTTCGATGAAAAAAAAAATATAGTGTTCTTAAATGTAAGTTCTTCTTGTTTATTTTGAAGAATTATATTATGTATACAATTACGTATATAATGTATCTTTAAATATTTTGTTTATACAATATTGTTATAGAAAACTCTTCTGCTCAATATACCATTTAAATTCATTACTAAAAATATTTAAAGTATAACTCAATGTAAACATTTACGTAGATAAGTAGTATATTATCAAGTTTGGAATTTGTACTTATCTAAGGCGTATATAAAACAATTTTTGGCTTAAATCGCAAATACATATGTATATATAAATTTAAAAAATTTGTCGTGCAAAATTTATTTTTTCAGTTAAATACACATAAGCAATCTAAACAAAAATGGGCACTGCATCTCAGTACTCTGAATTTTCATTTTAGAAGTTTGTGAAATTTTGTGTTTATTTGCGAAAATTGTGATTTTTTCTTATTTTTATTTTTATCGTATTCTATTTACTGATATCTATTAAAGAGCCCAGTCAGATAAAAGGGCAATGCAATCTATGTTGAAATCTATGTATGTACCTATTGTTGAAAAACAATAGGGTTTTCAACAATAGGTACATACATATAATTTCAAACCTTTCATATAATTTCAAATAAACCCAATATTATAATACGTTATATAAACCCAATATAAATCTTGAAATTTAAAAATTCAAAGGTTTGCAAATTTTCTTATAATTTTTAAAGTTTAGTTTCAAATTTTGCACAATACTTCAAATAATTCCAATTATATTTTTATACAATCTTAGTGTATTAAAAATTAAAATATATTACGTATCTATACAAACAATCACATGTATATAATATATACAGAATAGACCAAACGATGAAAGCGCAACTTAATTCATAATAGTTGCCCAATTAAAACAGTTATTGAAAAAGAAAAAGGTGAATTTCAGTAAAACCAACTCATTTAACAGATAAATTTTGAATTAACACGAACCAGATATTTTTACACATGTATATATATATATATATATATATATATGTGTGTGTGTGTGTATAAATAAACATACATATATACAATGTGTATAATACTTAAGTATATACGCAAGTAAAATGCTACTTGTAATAATATTATATACTTCCATCAGCATCAGAATCTAAATTATTGATACAAATTATATGGTACATACACAAACACTTACAGATGTGTATAAAGATAATAAATGAGAAATAATTTTATTTTGATTTTTATAAAACGATATACTGTTATTTCTTCATTCGAATATAATAAAAATGTTTATTTAATATTATTCTTCAAAAAAATTTTACACTTACAAAACAACTTTACCAACTCGTATTTAAAATCGAAAAACTATACATAAATACACTCATATACAAGCATACATGTATTCAATCAAACATATTTTTAGGTTTAAATACACATTGTAATTATTAATAAGAATTATAATGAAAACAACAAAAATTACAAGAAAAAGGAAACTCTCGCATAAAATTATTTCTTTACATTTTTATTTTTTTTTTTTCTTTTTCATAATATGTACGAGTATACATACTTTTATTATCTTCAATTCAGTTTTTAAATAAAAAATTATTTCTATAAGTAGGTACCAAATCAACGGTAACCGACACCATTGTAATATATAAATGCTCTAAATTTTTCGCATATATTCACATACATTCATACATACACACTTGAACATATTTTTATAACGACAAACTGTTAATATAAAAAAAAAACACATTGGCACACATATACATCCTACTATTATAAAATATTTTCTTGTGTAAAATAAACTATACTTTATAGAAAATATTATAGCCCCGCCCCAAACTCCATTAGGATTTTTCATTTATTATTATTATTAAGCAAAACAAGAAAAGGCACAAATAAAACAGAAAAGAAAGAGACGATATTACAAAAAATTAAAAACAAAAATAATAACAGAACATAATAAACACCCAGCAGAAGCAGCAGCAGCCTAGCAAATATAGTAACTTTTTATATTTTATCATTATTATTATAATTTAAAATCAACTTAAGTAACTTGCATAACACAAATTGATTCCAAAAATTAAAAAATATAATAACAAAAAGGCAACGAAAAATTACAGTTAAAAGGAAAGAAAAAATATTAAAAAAAACCGTATTTTGTCCCTATACAGCAAAAAAAAAAATAATCTTTTCTCTTTTTAAGTAAGAGAAGAAAATAAGACACCACCAAAACCCCCTTAATACCAAAAAAAAATGAGAATGAGAAACGCTCTAAACAGCATTTACCTGAGCCATTACGCTGTAAAAAGATCATTAAATACACAATTCTTCAACAAAATTCAAGGCAATATAAAAATTAAAACAAAAAAAACCTAACACAAGCAAACTTGTGTGAAAAAGAAATAAATAAACTCATTCCATTGAAATGAAAACACAAACATTGACGACAATAAAACGATGACAATAATAATTCAAATTCGGTTTTATATAAAGTATAAAAATACCCTCTCGAATATATTAAAAATAATTTAAGTCCTTATTATACTTTGCGGCGAATTGAACAGTATGACAGTAATGCAATAATAACACGACAGTAATCTCGAATTCTTTAATGAATTGCATAAGTAGTATATGTTGTTTAGATAACACTAACACTATTACTTCGAATGTATATTGCAAAGTGTGCGCGAAACCAATACATTCAAAAATAAAATAATTTTCAGAAGAAAATATTTTACATACTTTTTTCTGCATCTAAAATTAAATTCTTCTTTAATCTTATTTGACAGCATATAAATGTCCATATATCCATCTTTAAACACATACATTTATGTATACATTTATGTGTTTGTTCAGCTACAAATATGAATATATTCTTGTGGAATAAGCAATGTGCATGTTTAATAAAAGTATGTAATGTATGAGCTATAGTGTATGTATTTTAATTCAAAATATAATCTTTGGCTACTAAAATAATAAGAGAGGAGTAATATACTGTCACGACAGGATAAAGAATAAAATTTATATTAAGTGTTACAGAGTGTTAATATCATAACAGTAAGTACTTTTGAAAAATATTAAAAAGATGAGAATATAATAAAAAGAAGAATAAAGGAGATAAATTCAGATTTAGAGTAGTGTTAGTGACGATGTAAGTGTTAAATGAAGCAATTGTGGAAGCAATACTAGTAACACTGCAGTGACAGCAGTAATTTATAAGTAGCAGTAAATTATAACAAAAACAAAACTCAAAATGTTTTCATTTTTTTGTTGGTTTTCATTACTGTCTACTCGTTTACTTTTACTATTATTGTTATTATTGTTGTTCCATTTAAACTAAATCAACAAAAAATGAAAAAAGAAAACAACAAAAACAATAATCAAAAAGTTGTACTGAAACCTGACTGAAAAACTCAACTCTCGGGTCTGACTGAAATTTATTTTTTTTTTCTTCCTTTTATTTTTTTATTTTTATTGCTACCTTTTTTGAATGAGGGTTCATTAAATGATTTTGAATAGCATTTTGTCAGTGTTTAAACGACAGCGTTAAGTATCGGTTCATATTTTGTTTTTCTTATAATTTTGACAAGAATAAAAGTTAAGAATTGGTTTCTTTTTATTTGAAAAAAAAATATATAGAATTGAAAAGGAAATATTTTTAAAAAATTAAGAAAGAGATAGATATATTAACAAAAAAAACAGGTTTTCTTTCTTGTATATTACATATAAATGTTTGTATACGTATTCGTGTGTTATACTTTTAACTCTACAACACCTTAGTGAAAAATAAAGTAAAAGAGTTTAACAATAAACGGGTATTATAGTTAACAGTAGTCTGAAAATTTTAGTGAATGAACTTACTCGCTTTATAAAAAATAAAAATTAAATGATTCAACACTTACAATAATTTTAATTGTGTACTCTTTTTAAATATTTTTGCAAAATTATGACGGCATAAATTGTAATTTAGTTGTTTAAAATTTTTATATTTTAATTAAACCAAGTAATAATAAAATTATTGAATTTTACACCTGCGTTTAAATTCTGAAATTATTTTAAGCAATAATAATAAAATTAAATGAACAAAAAAAAAAATAAAAATTAATTGTGCAAAATATTATTAAAATAAAATTAAAAATATTTAATTCGGGAAAAATAAAAAAAAAAAAACTCTTAATTTATTTGAATAATAATTAAAAAAATAAAATTAATAAATAAATTTTGAATTTATCAGCAATAATAGCATTGGATTTGCGTAATAACAAAATGACCATTTCAATTAAAGATAGAACAATGGCAGTATCACAATTACCTACATCACGTTTCATGATAAGTGATATACTAGCTAATAATAATAATAACAATAATAATAATATTAATAGCAATAATAATAATCATACAGCAACTGGCGATCATAATCCGCATATTAATAATTCACTATACAACAATAATAATAATAGTCATGGTAAGTAATAGGATTAAAAAATTTTTGCTTTTTTTTTTGAATTAATTAATTTACCAATCAAGAATAATTATTATTAATTTAATTAATTGAAAATATTTTTTAAATGTTTTATTCAAGGGCAATTTTTAATATTATTTGTAATGATTTTATTAAACGAATACAAAATCACATATTAAAAAAATTTAAAAATGCCGTCGGCAAATTTTATATTACTGGTATATTTTATAATTGATTACTGATGAATGCAGATTATTTTGGAAGTGAGAGTTTTTTCTTAATTTTAACAATTTGTGATATTAAATTATAAATTAATTCGCCTTACTTTGCTAGAAAAATTACTTACATATTATGTGAATCTTATGACTCAATATTGTTGTTTGTATGAAAACAGAAAAGAATTTCTTTAGCTTTATATTAAGATTAATGAATTCGAATCAAGCTCAGTTTTTAGTGATTTCTTTTTCGAAAAATTTACTTTTGCAAAAATATTTTTTATACATTATAAAATGTAGCATACTTTTAGGTTTCATATCACATTTATTCTTTTGTTCTTGAATCAACCTCAGTTTTAAAATCTATAAGATTTTAGAAATTTGTTTTATTGTTGTAACAATTTAACAAATAGCCGGTAAAAATGTTTAATTTTGGAACTGCTTTTATTTAAAATAAATTACAGGAAATAATTATATTTTTACCCCATGTACAAATATTAGATCAGATTTTAAAATTACCTAAGACAAAAAATTGATTCGAAGAGCTATTCCTAAAGTAGTTGTTCAAAGCAATTAAAAATTGTGTGTCAATATTGTTTTAAAAGGCACTAATTACGTTCTTCAATAAAAAATTTTTATTGTTAGGTTTTTCTTTACAAAGTAAACTTGTAATTGCAAGATCTTTGCACAATACTTGAATTTATCAGGTGTATAATTTTGGAGACAGTGCTTTATACCAGGGCTTTGGGACACAATAGGTTGTAAAGACCAACGTAACAAAATGACCGTTTTGTTTTTATAGTTTAGGCTAGGGCAAAATTATATATAGATCGTCTGTGGTCGCAATACTTTTAAACCCTGAACTATGCTAACAAACTGTTCATAGATTTGTATTGGACTTATCCTGAATTTTGCATACTTATGGGTGCTTAGTTAAAAATAAGGTTATATTATATTAGTGTTGTATGCAAATTTCGTCTCAAATTTTTACCTTAATTATACATTAATTTCACAAAATATATTATGTAACTAATCATTAAATACTTAAAATAATCTTAATTTTTAATTTTACATGGCATAGTTTAAATATATATGATTTCAGTGTAATATGCAGTAACATGTAGCTATGTAACTTGTAATTAAAAATACAAACAAACTATTACAACAAATTAAAATATGGGTGTATCTTAAACCGGAATTATATATCATAAAAATTTAGAAATTAAAAACACACATATTTAATTATTTTAAATTGTACTCTTAGAATATATAGCTAAGAATTTAATTGAAATGTTCTCAATATTGAGAATAATTCATAATTTATTAAAATAATTGTAAATTAACAATTTTTATTGAATAAAATTATTGAATTTTAATTAATGTAAACAGCAAAAAATATTACAATTTTAATAAACTGAACTAAGGGAAATTAAAATGTTATTAAATTTGTAATTATTTGAAAACACAAATACATAGACATAATACTCGTATTACAAATTTAGTGAAATTTAAACTTTATTTCCAAATCACGTTTTACTAAATCACATTTTAATGTTGTAGAAATTCAAATTTTTTTTCCAACTCATTTATATTTTGATTTAAATAGTTACTGATTTAATTAAAAAAATAAAGTAATACTATAATCTTATCATAAATTGATCATGATTAATTATATTCTACCGATTTTTAACTACAAAATTTTCATATAAAAAACCGGAAACTTTTAAATTGAATGTAAAATTTTCAAAAGTAAATTTAATTTAAATTGAAATATTCGTTTGATTTCTGTATAATTTGAAGTATAAATTGGTATATATTTATATGCATTAATAAGTACATATTATAAGATTTGAGTAATCTGAAATTTCTCCATTTTCCCATTATAAAACATGTATACATCTACATAACAAAACTTGTACAGCAAGTATGTTAATGAAAAATATGTAATTAAAATATGGAATTGCATTTCATTTTGAATATTACAAATATGTAAAAACTTGTTTAATATAGTGATTGTGAATCCAATTCTTTTAAAATTGAATTTTTTTTTTTAAATTTCCAATATTAAGGGAAATTAACCGCGAAACGCCCTATATATATAGAATTACTGATTGAAATTCTTATAATTTTTTATAAGAAAACATGGATCACATTGTTACTAAATTTGAATAATATTTTTAAAATATGATAAATTTTATGGAGCATAATGCATCAAAATTCAATAAACCTTGTAAAATAGTAAGCCCATATATAGTAATATGAGATATTAGGGGTATATGTTCCCAACTTTAACAAGAACTCAAAATTATTATAACTTGCTTAATTTTTCAGTGCAATTTTAATGTTCTTAAACTTAATTCGCTTATAAAATTTATTTTGAACTGTTTCAATATTAGGCAATCGAAATTTCGTACATGTACTCCCCCGTTTTACTGTGAGAACTTTAATTATTACAAATACTTATTTAATTTGATTAAAATTCTTAATATGTTATACTCTTACCTATAATTAAGAAATAAATATTTTTTTATTATTTACCTCACATTTGAACAGAATCACAAAGATTGTAGCAATAATGTTGAACTTAGGAGATAATTTGAATTTATTTAATAAAATTCAAAAATGAATCCCTTAATAGATGCGAAAAACATATAATCTGCCTAATTCCGCTTCATCACTTGCATTTCAATTGAATCTTACATACCATTCATACCGGGCTTCTTGAAATTACAGCGTTTGTGCGGATATTTGTGAAAGCCTTAAAACAATTGAAATAATATATCAAATTTAATTATAACATAGGGCTACTATTTTTTTTTTAAATTTTATAACACAGAAATCCAAAATTAATTTCAAATGTAATTTTAATAAAATTTTTTCTTTTCTTTCAGAAGGATCCAAAACATCGTCACAAGCTGAAATGAAATTAACAAAACCAGATAATTTCAATTGGAGTCGTATATCATGTGATGATTCCGGTCATAGTGATGATGAAGATAATGATTCCTCAAATAATTTCGATCATCATAGTGAGAATAGCAATGGTAAAAAATTATTTTATTTATAATACTCTTGCTAAATTGCAAGTTAATCCCCTTAACTAAAATTTTAATCCTTCTTCAACAAAATCCTCTTTTTTTAAATAAACATATCACAACTCTAAATTAACTCTTAAAGAAAACTCTAAATTATCGAAATATTCTAAGAAATTATCATTAAAATTAATTTATTAATAAAAATGAAATTGAAATCGAAATTTTTTTTTTATAATTCCTGACCTTTATAATTTGTGTATATATAAAGCATTGTCTAATTCCAAAAAAAAAAAATGAAATCGAATCAAAAACTTCTAATTAGTTAAACGCGAACGAACATTTTTGACAAATCAGTTTTATATATATATATACATCTATATATACACAACTCATTATTTATTTGGATATATCCAATTCCATTATGAATTTATAAAAAATAGTGTTTGTTTTATTATTTTTATTTTGGTTTTCCTCGTATTTTCGATTAACCTCACCCTCATTTGTTAAAAAATCTAATTGAGGAAGACCTCACTTTAATATTAAAGAGTAAAATATCCACTATATATGTATGTAGGCTATCAAAATTAATATTAAATTAAAAAAACAAAACAAAAATTTAATAATCATTTAAAATTTAGAAACTTTAAGAAATCACGCGAATAACCTACGCTTTAAAATTTTCAATTTTTACAAATTAGCGTGAAATTTCATTCACGTTTTTTATTTCTGCTTTTGCTCCTAAGCATAGGTGTATATAAGTGCATTATGTGAGCGATTTGCTGATGAATGAATTAAATTTTTAAATATAATTCTTTATAAATTTAGGCAAACATTTTTAGAGTTCTAAAATAAAAATAAAAATCACAAATAATTTCACGTTTATCATCCGTTATCGAAATTAAGTTAAAAATTATTTTTTCTTATACAATAAAAACTTCACGTATTTAAAGTTTTCTTTTATAAAAGTCTACGTTTTATAACTTTATTTATGGTATTCCGTATAACTAAACATAAAAGCCTTTCAAAAAATTCTTCTTAAAAAACTCCAAGGTCATTTCTATACATAGAGAGTCTTCCACTTTTTTTGCATTTCTTAAAACTCAGATAGCAAGAAAAAATAACAAGATATTTGATGGTCACAATTTTCAAACTTAAGAATATCATCGTACCCGCGCGATGATTGATTGATGTGTGATTTGGGTGTTGGCTCTTTTTTTGAAATTTCGTTGCATTTTTTGTTTTATGAAAGAATCCTGGATTTTTTAACCTAAATATTCTTTTTGTTTTTATTTTATATATATTATTTCAAATTAATAATTATTATTTATTTTGAATTTCAATTTTTATTTTTCTTTTTCATTATTATTCGTTTTCATCTATACAATGCTCCTCTGTTTCTCTGATGTTGGTGTATATTAACGGGTATAGACCAAAAAGAAGATGATGATGGTAATATACAATTTGGTTCTGGTTTAACTAAGAAACAACGTAAAGCTCGTACAGCATTTACTGATCATCAATTACAATCGCTAGAGAAATCATTTGAAAGACAAAAATATTTAAGTGTTCAAGATCGTTTAGAGCTAGCAAATCAATTGAATTTAAGTGATACACAAGTGAAAACATGGTATCAAAATCGAAGGTAAGTTTTTTGTAAATTATTTTTTTTTTCCTTTTGGAAAAGAAATTATGAGAATAAACCATAAATAAGTTTTTATTATTTTGTACGTAACTGCTTATTTCAACCCTCTTATTATAATTTGAGTTGTTTTTAAAAATCAAATATAGAGAGAGAGAAAAAAAAATGAACAAAAATTTCTTTTAAACTGTTATTTGAGTAAAACAATTTTAATTAGGAAAATTATATGTTAAATTAAAAGTCCCGAAAAAATTACATGAAAAATTCCAACTTTTCATTTTCTTAATTTAAACTTCTTAAATAATTACTAACTGTTTTGTATAATTATAACCGAATTTCTACAATTCTTATTTACAGAAATGTTTTATTGCATTTTGAATTGTAAAAAATTATCAAAAATATAAAAACCAGATTTAAAATAAAATTAAATTTAATTTTCTTTAATTTACCACATATAACAAATAAATAAATTTAATTTCGATTTAAATCCTTATTTGCCGTTTTCAAAATTTTATTTTACAAAATTTGGAATAGACTTAGTTCAAAGGATTTTGAGTTTGTCTTACATGTTGGTTGAAAATATTCATATTTCAATTAATATTCATAGACTTGGAACTAGTATATAACTCCAATTTGAATATTTTACTCTATGATTTGAGTAGAAATTAAAATATTAAGAACTTACATAAATATATTAAAGTTATATTTGTATTTGTCAATAATATTTTTCTTTGAAAAATATACAAAATAACAGTGGCAAATTAAAAAAATTATTAAAAACGTATTTTCATTGTGTATCCGCCCGGTATATATCATTTAATGCAAAAATTACAAATGGCGTCAAATTTAAAAATTCAATTAAAAATAATTTAAGCACTCTGCAAATTGACATTGGCACTCATTATTCTGACAGACTTCATTTGGGTCAAATTTTTAATTTGTGACAATTACCCTAACGGTATTTATTTAAACTTTTATTTATACAATTTGTCGATGAAACTCACATGAAAACAAAAAAAAAACCAAATTACTGCACAAATAAAAAAATATCATTTCAATTATGATTAAAATACCTGTAAGCTGCTTTAAGAAACCATAACAAAGGAAGAAAAAGAAACTCAACTGAAGAAACTTTAAAAGTTTTGCTATCATTTGCATTTACCTTTTCTAAAAACGAATCTTACGCAGCTAAAAAAAAATTTTTTTTTATCTGTTTGATTCGCATTTATTCAAAATATCATCACGGCTACTGAATTTCACATGAATCTTTTTTTTTTATTTACGAATTCGTTTTTAATTTAGTTGCTATTACATTTGTTGTATAACCTTTCATATAGTGTGTTTCCAAGAGTAAGTTCGAAGAGTTCATCAGTTTTTTTATTAAATTAAACTTCTTATTAGGTACGAGTACGAGTATATTTAGAAAATTTAGTTGTGATGCAGCAGGAAAACACTTAAAAACTGTATATAGTTTTAAATATATTGATTTGTTCATTGTTGATAATATGGTGTTCCACATAAGGAATAAGTACCGTTGTTCAAAACACTAACTTGTAAAATGTATATTTTATATTTTTAACTACACTGCTCTCTTTAAAAGACCATTTGAAAGGTGTAGTGAAGCACGTTCATTCCAGTAACTGTGCGCAATATAAAATTTTGCTCTTAAAAAACATAAGTAATATAGCAATGACACACTAAAAATGTTATTTCTATGCCAAACTCATTAAATTACGACAAATACTAAAACCAAGCGGAAAGTAAAATTTTGAACACCATACAATATGTACTTAAGTATTTTTTCTGAGTGTACGCAAACTAAGTATGTATAACTAAAATTATTGATTAAGCTACCAGAAATACACAAAAATTAACATCTACATATTTATATATTAATGTATGTGTGTTTGTATTGAAAGATATTGATTACGAACGCGATATGGATATTTTAATATTTTGGAAAAAAAAGAATTAAAAATAAATACAAAAAACAAAAATTATAATAATGCAGTACGAATGGATATACAATTGAAAATTGTACAATTGTAGAAATGCAATAAAAGAAACTCAAATCATGTTGTATAAAAAAAAAAGAAGCAGTTCAAATTTACATTGCCTTGTACATAAAATATTCACTTGTAATTGTACGTATAGATTGATGCTTGTATAAAAGATGATCGCAGAGAATTGACATAAATTTTTCTTTTTTGATTCGTATTATTTCTCGTATATTTTTGCTCCTTTCGCTTCCTTTTATTATTTTTGTTGATTTGCCTTTCAACATTCTATATAGCCTCAAGATTTTAGGTTTCTATCTTTGATTTGAAAAAATCAAAAATAAAAAAAAATGCGTGATGCAAAGTCATTACATAATAAAGAGTGCAGGGTACAGAAAGAAGAGCCTAAAGTAAAACAAATCAGTAAAGTGAAAAGAAACAAATACAAAATTTTATTCCGATAAAAAGTTAAAAATTTTATAAAAAGATTTCCTTTTCGGAAACAAAACAACTTAACATATAGGTTAAAATATTTAAGAAAAGAACTAAAAAAAAATGAAACAGGATTTTTATTGTTATAATATATATATATATATATATATATATATATATATATATATATATATATATATATATATGTTATATATGACTTTAATATTTTAATAGAGCGAAACGGAGACCTCGATGAACAAACAATAATTGTAAAACGATTTTCATACATACACACATACACATATTGTTACATAATTACATACAAAATGCTTATTATTTGGCGTTTGTTTGACGTTTTCATTTTTGTTTTTTAAACTGTAACTGGATTGAATCAGAATCAGACATAATTATGTTGATTTAAGTGATCTCCTCTTGTCAATTTTTCTTATTTTTCTTGTTTTTCTTCTTTTATACTCATAAATCGTTTTATGATCTTGATTTTTTTTTAATTTTTCTTTTCTAAAATATTTTGAATATTATTTTTATATATTTTTATATGGATTTAAATGATATATTAAAGAAAATCTGAAAATATTATTTATAAAGATTTACATACTTATATAAGTTTGTGTAAATATGAAAACGCGTATACAATTTGATTATGAAAACAGAAACGGTATACCAGTTATTATTTAAAAATTTTTTTTTTCCAAAAAAAATATATGTAAAATTTTATAACTGTGAGTAAAAGAAGAAAATATATAAAAACTTGTAATTATTTTCGGTTCACTTAATTTTTTATTAATTGATCTTGCCTGCTATAGGATAATATGTAGAGAATAGATCTTTTACTACAATTACTATTAATTATATTTTAGCTTTTTTACACTAGTCTTGATATTGAAAGCTTTGTACATTACTTTTCTGGAAAAGGAAATAATAAATTTTTTTTTTGGAAATTCGACTTTAAGAAATTGGACCTCTACGATCTTTTATGCTTCAGTTATATTCTCTCTAGAATTGCTATAAAGCTTCAATTACATGTTATGGATTTTGTTTTCTTAAAATTTCAGAATTATGCATTGTCCGTTAAGATTTTAACATTCGTAGAGAAAATTTAAATATGAGTTGAGAAATTTCGTAAATTACAAAATGAAAATTCTGAAATTAATTTCCTACCTTTAGCCATTTATCCTATTTATACATTTATCCTATCATATTACAATACCAACCTATAGGTACTGTAATATTTGATAATCTATAATATTAACATAGTAAATCCAAAATTTAAATCAGAATTTAGTCATAAAATTCATTTAATCGCAACCTTGCACAAAATAATAATCATATGTAAAGTTACAAGCTTATACACTGTGTAGATGTATAGACTATGGTTCAAAATAATTATTTTGCATGCTGATTACAAAATATTTAATCAATATTTACAAAATTATATAGTTATTACATTAAAGTTTAAGCTACCAATATAAGAAAAAAATTTTAAATAGAGGTCATTGTCATATTATATTCTTGTATAGGTGTAATTTATTAAGCACCTATATAATTTTTAAATTATTTAAGTGATAGATTTATGTTTATAATTGTACCTAGATATACTCGTATTTGCAGAACAAAATATTTTCTTATTAACAAGTCCAAGTAAATTTACGATAAAACATTAATAACTCAATCAAAGTCTGAACTAATATAGAAAAAAAATATTAACAACCACACACTAAATACAATTTCCAATTATAAATTAAAAGTTTTAAAAACCATTAAAAATTTTTAACATGTTGTTATTTTTTATTTTTTAATATTAAAAATTTATACTAGAAAATTTTTATAATGGCGCGCGGAAATATAAAAATTTTTTAATTTTTTTTTTTAATTTTTTTAAAGTTCAACACAAATTATTTTTTGTATTTGCTATTTAATATTTTCACATTGTTCATAGTTAAAGGTTTTTATGAAAAGGAGAACGAAACTTACAAATTTACAATTTATTTTCTTTAATACTTTTCATTCAAAATCTTTAAGTTCAAGTTGATTTTCACTTCAAACAGTATGATCAACGCTAAAGTATTCAAATTATCGAATTCGAATTAAGTAATAAAGTTTTTACCTTTACTATAAATTAACTCAATTTTTGATTCTCTTCAAATTAGTACGGAAATTAGTTTAATGCAAGTGCAAGACAAAAATAGAAAATCCAGTAAAAAATTTTTAATAAGTTAAGCACAAAACTCAGTTTTTTATGACAAAAATATAACATGTTTGATACAACATGTTTGATACAACATGCCTGATACAACATGTTTGATACAACATGCACGTTGTATGTTGGACTCATAAAATGAAATATGAACTTAATCCCTTAGAAAATATAAATTTAAAATCAGTCTATAAATCTCGCCCATTTTCATTTTTTAAAAATTTTTAAATTCTTATTCAATTCCTCCTTAATTTTTAGCTTCCAATGTTTGATTCCGGGTTCTTTCTTAACTCAATTGTTAAATTATATTACTCCCGCTAATATATTGTAAACTTTGACTGAATTCTATAATAGTTTTCCTATTAGCTTTCATAAAACAAATCTGCACCTATATGTATAAATTATAAATAAATTTTTTTTCCTACGAGAATTTCGGTCATTCAGATTTTGATTTCATTTCATTTTCGTATAAATTTTTTTTATTTCATTTTCAGTTTTTTATTTTTTAAATTGTCATTGCTTGATGAAGGCTAATTATATGGCGGAATATTATATTGTATATTTCCTTTTAGTTTCTCTCTTATTTTGTTGTTCCTAGCATTTAAAAAAAAAAAAAAGAATCCAAAAAATTAGCGTTGTTCTTTAAAAAATTTTGTAAAGGAAGTTGTTATATTTATAGATTGGTAGTCCTAATATGCCGTCAGTATTTTGATTTCTTGATAAATGATCAAATATAAATTTGAACTTTTAAATTTGATTCCATCTCTTATAATGTTATATAATAAAAATATGTTTGCATATATAACATGTTAAATTTCTACTAACTATACACAGTTTTGAAGCATAAGAATACGAATCAATTATGAAATGATAATGAAAATATTTTCATGTATTTAACTTGTATGTATAAAATTTTTAATTTTAAGTACATCTTTACGAAAGAAGTTATAATGATAACTTCGATGAATTTAAATTTTCATTTTTAAAAAAATTAACATACCTTTAGGGGATTTTATTTTTTTTAAATTGTTTTATAAAATAATTTGTTCAAATCTATAAAAGGCATACGTTTTTATTTGAAAATTTAATTTGATAATTATGGGGGCAAGACATTCTTTTTAAAGTGTTTTTAAATTCAACTCAGTATTTTTTTTTTATTTCAATTTTCTTAATGCTTTTTTAATAAAATTTTAAAAACTTTCAATTAAAATTTATATTTACCTTATTATTTCAGAACAAAATGGAAACGTCAAACTGCTGTTGGTTTAGAATTATTAACAGAAGCAAGTAATTATGCAGCTTTTCAACGATTATATGGTAATCCACCATATATTGGTGGTTGGCCATATCCAACACCATCAGCAGCCGGTGTACCATCACCAGTTGATTTATATTATAGACAGATGGCAGCAGCAGCAGCATTTCAAACACCATTACCATATGGATTATATTCAGCTGCAGCAGCAGCAACAGCACCAAAAGAATATCATCGATCACCAGGATCATTGAGTAGTGAAATAAGTGCAAATACAGCAACAACATTATCAGGTAGTGGTACACCTGGTACATTTTTACCATTGCCAACAACAAATCCTTTAACATCATTAAGTAATTTTTATTCAAGTCATCCATCAATAAATTCTCCTGGTTCAGTAATATCAGCATCTAGTGGTAGTCTTGTTGGTGGTACATCAAATCGTAATCCAAATGAATTAAATAATAATGGTCCATCTAGTTTATATAATAATAGCAGTTTAACAGTAAACAGGCAACAACAACAACAAACACATTCACAAACAACAAGCTATCCAATTGGAAGATCGCCAAATTTAAATCCAGCTAGCAGTAGCCCACCTATCAGTAAATCGGATACCTGTGAAACATCAAGCGAAAGTGATGATGAAACAATTAATGTTTAAAAGCATTCTTTAAATTGATAATTTAAAAATACAAAAAAAAATGGATAAATTAAATTAATAAAATAGTTTCTAAGTTAATTAAACAAAAGAAATAAGATTGAATAATTGTAATAATTTCAAAAATAAGATAAATAAGAAGTGTATGTAAGCTATTATTTAAATATATACATATTATATATATATATTCATTTATTAAATGTTTACGTTTTTATTAACAAAAAATATTTTAATAAAACTCTTAACTGTGCTTTAATTTAATTATAAAATAATTTTTTATATATTAAAAAAAGGAAAGAAAAAATCATTATTATTTTTTTTATTATAATTTTTAAAGAGAATGAATTTTTATTTTAAATTTAATTATGTTTTTATTTTATTTTTTAAATGTTAGTTTAATTTATAATTTAGTTAATGTATGAAAAGCAAAACAAAAAAAAATAAATTAAAAAATAAATAGTAAAAGTAAAAATAAGATTAGATAAAAAATTATTAAGAAAAATAAAAATGGCATTTAAAACAAAAAAAAATTCTTTTCTTTTTCCATTAGGAGCTTTACAACAGCATTAGAACAGCCGTCCTTAATGGTGCAAATAAAAGACCTGTCGATAAGGTTTAAACTATTTGTGATTTGCTAAAATTCTTTTATTGTTACCTTTTCAAAATTACTATCACATTGAAATTACTTTTAAAATTACTAGCTCTTTAATATAAAAAAAAAATGAAATGTGCACAACAATAGGGTTTTCTTGGAAAATTCGCATTAAAGATATATAGTTCCAAAGGTAATTTTCCAGTTTTCAAGTAAAATGAGGTAGGCGAATGAGCTGTCAAGTCTGTCGAATGAAAATTTTGTGTGACAAGCATAACGATTGAAACCAAAACCAAAATAATACATAATATGTTTTTTTTATTTGATATCATAGCATTTATAGTGATACAATAGAAAAATCTAAACTATCTGTAAAGTAAGTAATATAACATTCTGCAATTATGAAGTTCTGCAAATTATTGTAAAAAATATTGATTGCTCAATTTTAATTTAAGCGTGATTTAATTCGAGCATTTAATTAAAATAATGGAGAACAACCCCGACATTGCTAAATAAAGAGGAAAATTCAATTGTTTTTGCAAAAAAACAAAAACAATGTACATATGTGCGGCATTAACCTTATTATTTTCAGTAGGTTTTTTGATGTCTTACGGTAACAACATTTTGGATCTAGCGAATGAAAGCATTCGCCGATCATAATTTAAAATGTCATTCGATTCGCCCAGTTCATTCAACTCGCCAAGCCATTCGTTTCGCCGAACATAATAAGGGTACTAATAAAATCTTTTTCATTTCTCTAATATTTAAGGCGTTCTTTTTAAGGCCTTATTTACGGTCTTGTTTTTTAAAAACCAGTGTGCAAAATAACACTCACTTTCAATTTCTTGTTTTTTTAATTAATGCTATATGTTATTTTTCTAATACAGGACTACTCTCTGTAAATATCAGTAAAAATTTTTGAAATATTAGCTAAACTTTTAATTTTCCAAATCATTGTTAAATTTTTGGAGTCGGAATGGAAACAAAATTTTTTTTGTATATTTTCAATTGAAAATTTTATTGGGAAGATATAGGATAACAATGGTATTCTCTTTTTATATGGTCGGTGAGGGAAAAGCTGAAGTGTAGAACGAACTAGTCATATGTATGTATTATTTGTCACAATTACACTAAAATATATACTTGAATGTATAGATATTTATGAGCGTAATTTACTATTAATGGTGGTTATATATTATGTGACAAGCATAAATTTACAAATTGTGTAATTTAAATTTCCCCTCTACTGACAAATTACAATAACAATGATCATACAGTGAGAATGGCATTGTGATAAGAATGAAACATTGTTCAAAAATTTAAAATTTATATAAAAATTGAAAAAAAGGATTCAATGTCCTCCTCAATATGCTTTCATTAAATTTGTGGAGATGCTCATTTAAATTTATTATGCTTTCTTGAGCTCTAACAAAACTTCTATCTAAACTAGAGTGGTTACATAATTTTTGACAAAAAATTTTTGTTTTAGAAATGGCAAAAATGCAAGTAGCTTCTAGATCACATTGTATTATAACCCATGTATGCATAGCATTTTTCAAAAATATTTGTCTCTAAAAAGTACTTCATGGAAAAGGATAAACTCAAAACAAAAATTCAGAAGCATAAACAACTTTCTCTTGTATTTGTTTATGAACCAATAATTTCAATTGTATTTATTTTATCAAATCATTTTGTAGTATGCAATCAGTATACCCACAATACCTGAGCATAAAATAAAATTACAAAAAAATTCTCATTAATCGAAAATAGAATATTGAAAAGACAATAACCTACATATAAGTGACCAGCATACAGATTTGAAAAAATTTCTGTTATACTTTTTCATTGTTGTTAATCCGAGGTTGAAACAATTTCTATTATATTGTTTTCGTAAACAAATTCTTATTAAATATATCGGTCAGAGTATAAAAGTATAAATACAACAATTCAATTACTAAGAAAAATCATTTCTCTAGTAAACAAAAATTTTACTCACCCACGTTTCTCAAACTGTTTCTAAATAATAAAAAGTAAATGCAACAATTTTATTCCATGTCATAGATTTCAAATTTAACTCAAATTTTAATTTCACTAGTTACGAAACGATACAAAAATTTTATTATGCTGTTCAAAAATAAATTACACAATATTCTTTTAAAATGAGTGAATGATCAGTTGTGTATTGCACAGCTGATCATTGATATCTGGGAACCATCAGTTTTTTTATTTGAGTGTCGAAATTTCCGGACGACTTTCGAATTAAGTTGATTAGATTAAATAAGGTAATTAGAACAATATTAATTTCCATTTTAGGATTTTTGCTACAAAAGAGTAAAAATCCTTGCAAATTTTACTTAATATTTAGGGGGTTTCACAGAAAATTTAATAAGAATATTTTAAGTTAATTACGGTAAAATCAAGGATTATTATTGACTACCGGCAATTTAACTGGAAAAATTAGTAGAATATTACAAATATCAAGCGTAAAATTACTCAACATGAGTGTTAAATTTACTTTGCAGAGTTGAATATCTTTAATGAGTGAAATCATACTTATAAAGCGCTTTTTCAAGGGATTCCGACTAGGGCAAAAAATAATTTTTGCACAATTTTATAATAAAGTGATTGCTGTACGATACCACTTTTCATTCTCACCGAGATTTCTTACTATTTAGAGTTTGTTTACTCACCGAGTTCTTTTTTAACAGAAATTTCACATTATTGGATTGAATTTCTCTCTGTACTGAAAGCTTGAGAACTCCTTTATAAATCTTTATAATGAAGACAACATTGTTAATATTTAAAAATCCTTATTGTTACAAACATAAAAACAAGAAAACGAAACCTAGTGATTAAAATGTAAGTGTAATAAAAAATAATATGAAATTTTAAAAGATTATTTCGAGTGTAAATGTGGTAAAAGTATCTGATCTACCGATTAAAACCAGCTTTCGTATCTTTTGATATACATAATAGAGCAAAAGAAGAGAGATAAAAAAACAAACACATATTTTTTATTTTAAATGCGGAAAATCGCCCCCTTTTAACATTTTAGCACCATGCTATATTTAATATTTAAATGGTATTGAAAAACACAATATACACATACAACCATGTTTCTATATCTGTATGCTTATACCTTATACAATGAATTCATATATCTCAAATAATTTTGAATCTGATACAACTACTTAATTTATGATAAAATAATAATGATGTCCCTGTGGAAGGATTAAAAATATATAAATCGTTTATCATTAAATTTTGATCAAAACCATATGGGCTTTTGAATTTCTTAATTTAAACAGGAAAAAAACTATTGTTGTTGTTGTTCATTTGTTTCCTTATAGTGCATATCCTTAATAAATTTGCCATATTTGAATCAGATTTCAATTCGTGTGTAAAATTTTGATTAGTTATCAGAAAAGAAAAAAATGGTAAGGATTTATTATTTTTGTATGTAATGTTGTTATATATGTGTATGTGTTTAATATTTGAATTATTAATAATTTTATACCAGTTTGGTTTTTTAATATTAAAATCAAATGGATATGATCGCATAATTATGATAAAATATAATTGAGAACGTTTTGTGCATGGAATAAAGTTTTTTAAGTTTTTTTTTTTTACTAAAATTGTAATTTAATATATGAGCTATAGAGATTATTTTGAGAAACAAATATCTTTTTAAAAAATTTTTAAAAAAATAAGGCAAAATATGTAATTTACTTAGAGAAATAAGAGCAAAATTATAATTATTTTTGTCACACAGTTTTATATGTTCTACATCATTTCATATTTGTGATGAATCGTTGACTAGTTGCGGCATTTGAATTTACCATATATAAAGCCAATCGCTTAATTTCGACCTTTTGAAGCGGGCACGAAAGCTACTCAATCGATGATATTTTAAAATATTTAGGCACAAACAAAGTATTAACGGTTATAGGGTTCTGAAATTTTATAAAGCAAATACCAAATGAATGGTTGCGAATCAATTTACAGAGTAAAAACTATTATATCCACGGCCGCTTTTCAAAAACCTCTTGACTTGTATGTGGTTTAGTTAATTTATTTACCGATTACACGATTTCAATAATGACAGTAATCGCAAGCAAATGTCCGATTTGGTACTATAAAATTGGTGCTTTTAAGAAGATAAGACATCGGTACAGAAGAAGCAGCATTCAAGCGATAATACAAATAATGATGATATGAAAGTTGTAAGGTAGAAAAAAGCATATAAACTTAAAAATACCTGTTATATTTGGAGTGTACGTAAGTGTGATTTAATTATGAAAATAACAAAGCGGAAGCTAAATATGCAAATAATCCGAAAGAATCCGTGTATACAAGAAGAAATATCCTAGTCAAAATTCAAAACTATATGTCAAATAAAAATATTGGAGAAAATTAAGACTTTAATTATAAAAATTTGTTCTCCATATTCGATATCATTTAAAAAGGAGAAAGAGTTGCAAATCATGACTTTAATACAAGACAAAAATAATTTCAGTACATGGATTTTCAGTATACATACTATAAAATTATTTTCAAAATATTGCACAATTTGAAAAATCAATCAACAAGCTAGTCCCACAACAACATTGTTAAATTTTAACTTTGCCTCCTGTTATTATTCAAAGTCTTGAATAATAACTTTTTTCTATTTTAATGAGTTATAAGTGAAATGTTACTACAATCTTGGACTATG